TTCACTTAATTCCCAGAATTTTCGCTTTCGAACGGTCTAGAACGAGGACGGATCGAAGGGCGTAACAAAGGCAACTATTTCAGCACTTCATAAGGTGAGGATGGCTGACTATATTGCTTATAATTAGTGAGTTAATTTCATGAGATTACCGAAGGTAATTAAATGTGTTTTTTATGGATTATTAATGATTAATAATGCCTAAAAATGAAAAGACTAAATGTCTAAAGAAAAAAGAGCATGATATACAAATTTAAGAGTAAATTGTGTATGTTCATGTGTTATGAATAGGTTGACTTGAAAGTGGAATTAATTATGAAACATATGTTGAAATATACTTTCTCTTCATATTTGAATATATGAGTGATTAAAAGTGATATTTTGAATATTGAGATAAATGACATTTTCAAAGGAAAATCAGTTGGATTTGTCTATATGACTATGAGTTGAGAACTTGGTTTATTGGTATGAATTTGACTAGTATTAAGATACTAGTTGGACATTAAAATGAGATGTGGTTAAGATTGATCCTAAGAGTGGATTGTGAAATGTTATGCCTTAAGTAGTCTTAAGAGATGCTTTAAGGTAGGAAAGTATGAACTCTAAGTTATACTAGAGGTATGCCTTAAGGGATACCCAAGATAAAGTAAGTAATAAATTGATCCTAGGTATAGGATTGGCCTACGGGTGTGTTCGGTAGTCCTTGTGGATAGCCGGTTGAATTATGGAAATAAGTAAGGACCATGACCCTTCCCGACTCTAGAGAACGGGGTTGGATAGCATGGACTTACATCGTGATCACGGGTTAGGGTGGAATCCGAATCGGAGACCTAACTAGGTTCCGGTAGCGGTAACACATAAGATAGGACCCCGAAGGGCCTTACCTTCCTACGGGATGATGGGTATGAGTCCAGGGGCGGGATGTTGAAGTCCGAACCGGGAGCCTCATGAGGTCTCGGACAGCGGTAGCAAGTCCCGTATAAATAATAAGACCCAAGGGTTGTGTAATACTTGAGATTTAATTTAAACGGATTAATAGTACTACTCATACCAACAGAGGTGCATCTCCTTTTAAGGGAGCTCATCACCCAAGAACTCCAAAGTTAAGCGTGCTTGCACGGGAGTAGTCTTGGGATGGGTGACCCCCTGGGAAGTTTCTCAGGGCGCGCACGAGTGAGGACAAAGTGCGCGGAACAGGTTGGTGACGGTTTGTGAGGACAGTACTAGAGGTCTGGAGTAACTACCTTGGGTCCTGCGAGGCCGGGGTGTTACAGGTGGTATCAGAGCAACCCTGCGACAGTGTGCTGATCCGTTGGATATCGGGCGGGCACTTAGCAGGGGAAAAGATTCTGGGATATGATTGAGATTGGTTTATGGGCGCAACGAGGACGTTGCGTTCCTAAGTGGGGGTGATTGTAATACTTGAGATTTAATTTAAACGGATTAATAGTACTACTCATACCAACAGAGGTGCATCTCCTTTTAAGGGAGCTCATCACCCAAGAACTCCAAAGTTAAGTGTGCTTGCACGGGAGTAGTCTTGGGATGGGTGACCCCCTGGGAAGTTTCTCAGGGCACGCACGAGTGAGGACAAAGTGCCCGGAAAAGGCTGGTGGCGGTTTGTGAGGACAGTACTAGAGGTCTGGAGTAACTACCTTGGGTCCTGCAAGGCCGGGGTGTTACAGGTTGGGTTGTGCAAATGATAAATGAAAAGGGATATATAAGAAGGGCCGTGTGCCGACAAATAAATGAATTTACTTATTATAAAGATAATAAGTGGGAAATATAATTTATTATTTATATTATGATATCACCCTATTTTGAGGGTCTTGGAAATTAAACGTTGATTATACTTAGTATAGTTGCTATTGTACTTGTCAAATACTTCCAAGTGCTGACCTCCCCTTCACGGGGGAGGCCACCTCACAGTTTCAGGTAGAACTTGAAGGTTACTACCATTGCCCGTTGCTTCGGGAGGATCAAGGGAAGAAGGCGTGGTTCGTGCTTCTTCCATTCTGTTTTAAAAACAATTACGTTAATGCTCATGGATATTATTTTTGAATAACTATTTGGGAGCTTGCATGCCCATGTTTGCCAAAGTGTGGCTAGACACTTTTATTAAATGCTTCTGCTGTTTTAAATGAATGTTTTACATTATGTTTGTTTATGGATGTACTATGTGTGAATGATATTCATGACGCCTTGTATAGTATGGATGAGTTGGACTGCGGTTGACTATTCGTACTGTACGGTGGGTTGTTGACGTGTCCGGCTAGGTCCGGGGCGTGACACTTGGGGTCCCCGACCCCATCATAAGTTAGTGTTCCAGTAGGCCGAACGTCCCGTGCAATGTCTACTGTCATGACCCTGTCAGTGAAAGGGGGCGAGACTGCAATCCTGGGTTGTGCCTGTGTATTCTCCATACGTCGATTCAGCTCGTTTATCTGTCTTTGCATGTCCATGAGCATGGCATCTCGCGGATCGGCCCCAACGGGCGCGGGAGTTACCAATGCCAAGGTATTCCCCCTTGGCGTAATGCCATGATTATGCTGACCATGGTATACCCGGGCCTCCGCCATCATGCCATCCACCACGGGGGTATGTTCCCGAGCCGCCCGTCCATCGCGGGGCATGACCGGCGTGGGGTCCTGGACCGTGTGGCGCTACGTTCCCTTGGAAGGCCTGGCTCCCGCGGCGCCCCCCATACCCGGAGAGCGGGTGTTCTAGGTTATCCTGGAATGGACCGAACGGCGGGGATTGCTATTTTCACCGGTATGCTCGGCGATGGGCCAACCCTCGTTGGCCATTAACCCAACAAAGTTAATGGACAAAAAATTGAGTTGCGAAGCAGATCAGATTTCTAAAACAAGTGTAAATTGACAAAGGGGATGGCCGTTTAATATGTCTATTTCCAGGTTGTGTTCTTTCATTTGCTCTTTTGTGCTTGTATTGTTTGTGTTCTTCTTCTTCGGGCGTCTGTCTCGCGGCTGATTTTTCCGACTCAATTTGGCCGAGACTGGTTGTGAGGTGCTTCTGCCCAGAACGTAAGGTTGGAGCTATCCTTATTGTCTTGTTTTACAGAGCTTAAGTTTTATTTGGTTTTTATTTTTGGTTGAGTCTTTGATCTGAGTTTGTGGAATTTGGACTGTGTTGTGATGGATATGATTTCGAGAAATGTTAGTATGCTTTCAATTGCTGAGGAAGAGAACAGGGGTTTGGTGTTAGCGGCTGACTCGACGGAGAACGCAAATGAGACTATAGAGGAATTCCATCTAGCGGATGTGGCTAGAGTGGTTTTCGACAAACATGTTCGTGTTGTTTCTTTTTGTCAAACAATGACTATGGTTTGGCGTCCAGTCAAGGGAGTTTTTATTGATGAAATTGAGGACTCTAAATTTCTTCTATAGTTCTACCATGAAGGAGATCTGAATAGAGTTGTTGATGAAGGACCCTGGTCCTTTGAGCAAAATCTTGTGGTTATTAAACGTTTGGGGCGTGTTGATAAACCTTTGGAGGTCCCATTGGATCATGCTGACTTTTGGGTTCAGGTTCATGACTTACCCTTAAGCTATATGACGGCACGGGCAGCTCGGGGAATTGCAAATAGTATCGGAACACTTATGCAAGTGGACGAGAGCTCGCTGGGTGGAAAGCAAAGGTTGATTATGTGTATTAGAGTTACTATGAATATTACAATGGCTTTGGCTAGACGCTTGCAGGTCAGACAGGAGGGAGACAACTGGATCTGGGCAAACTTCCGATATGAGAGACTACCGAATTTCTGCTTTATATGCGGGGTTCTTGGTCATGCTGACCGTTTCTGTCCAGCTAATCCGCATAGTGGTATTGGGATCGGGGAGAAGCCTTACGGGCCATGGCTGCAGGCAAATATGATGCGGGGAGGATCGCATCCGGGTAACAGATGGCTTATCCCTAGTACTAACAATTCATGTGACAGGCGGGAAAGAAAGGCAGAGTCTCATAAAGTGATGAGGGAACAGGAAAGCTATTTGGTGGAAGGACTGCTGTCAAAGGGGGAGGAGATTGCTACAACCCAGGATGCACCAAGAAAGTGGAGGACCATCGAGAAGGACAGTGAAGTAGGGGTACAAGCTAACATGGAAGTGGATACACAAATGCCAAAAAACTTGGAAGTGGCGGTGTTGCTCGGACAACACCACAAGTAAAAGGTGATTGCAAGGACAAGGATGAAATACCTTTAGCGGAGGCTGGTCAAACAGCTTTTCCCTTGCAAGTGGCTGGAAAAACTGGATTATGTTCTTCTTTTCGCTCTTTTTCCTTTTAGAATTCTGTTTTGTCTTCTCATTTCCCTCTTAGTAGCAGGTGCAACATTGCTGTGTATGGAGTCTACCAATTAGTGGGGTTAGCGATATGGTCCTCTAGTAAGCGCGATTCCAGCTCTGAGTCTCACCCCAGTGTAACCTTTATTATGGCGAATTTGTATATGATCCTTGGTTTGAATATTAATTAAGTTATCTTTTGCCAAAAAAAACTATGAAACCCCAACATGTCTAAAACACCCTTCTTAAGTCAAAGTTGCATCCGAATAACTTAAGAACCTTGTGCCATCAAATTGCAAGCCTTGAAATTGTATGTGCGTACCAATTCACTGCTCTTTTTTTTTGAGAAACCAATTCACTGGTTAATGACATTGCGATCTTTTTTTGTAACATTGCAATCTCTAAAAATTAATGTTTTTTATTTTAATGTTATTTCTCAAGATACATATTTATGAATAGTCTGTGAGGCTGATTTGGACTCACATAGATCCATACATGTGTTTGAACAATCGATCCAGTTAGAACATCTCCAATAGAGATGTGAGTTGCACCCTTAGAAAAATAGACACGTCATCCTTATGAATAGCCCATGAGGTTGATTTTTTGGACTCATAGACTATTAAAATGATATTTCGTCTCCAATGGTTTCTTCTTTTCGATATCTTAACAAAAAAATTAAGTTAATCATTATTCATATGCAAAGCATTACGGAGTATTTGTTTTCAATATACAAAGTACAATAGTATTTATATACATACGCACTACACACCTCCGGGCTTGGGAAAAGAATGGCAAAACCTGTCCATTAGCCACTCTACGGAGGTTGAATTCTCAAGGTTATTTTCCATTTGTAAAGATTGGAGATATTCAGTCATGTGAAAAGGATTGGACTGAAATCCATGGTGGAAGGAGGCTCAGTCGTTCAGAAATAGAGGTCGGAGGCAGGGTCAAGAGACGAGTCACTATTACAGGGAGTCGAGGCTATACAGATGAGTCGATGACCGGCGGGGGCTGCAGCCTAGGATTACAGGTGCCATAACTGAAGAAGAATCTGATAAGGCTGTTGCCGCCAGTTGCCGGTAGAGAGGAAGAAGATGGCGAATCTGACCGGCGGTGTGTTTGATGGAAAAAATTGGTAGAATCTGATGTCCTCATTTACGGAAATTCTCTCCAGCGGTGTGTTTGACCGAAGGGAAAGAGTGTTGCTTTTGCTTATTCCTAGTTTTACTACATACTCTGTATATGATTCTCATATGGAAAAAATGGTAGAATATATAGCTTGGTGAGTTGGCAATGGGATGGGCTTTCTGAAACTAGAAGGTGAGATAGACTATGCCCCTTTTTTATCATTCCAGGTCATCACCACAACCAAAGTTCATAATGCCGTTGGAGAAGTAATTTTACATTAAAATAATGTGGCAATTCATTGTTTAGCAATCCACTCCCTCAGTACGGATGCTCTTACAACTACTCCAATGACTATTGTTTTAGTACCATTTCAGTGACTACCGTCCTAGTTACTACCGCTCCGGTGATTACCATCCGAGTTACTACGGTGCAGTGACTACCGTTTCAGTTACTACTGACTATCGTTTCAGTTACTACCCCTAATGACTCCATCATTCTTGATGACAAAAAAATCCTTTAGTTACCAAAATTTGTAATGGTGTAGATCACAGTGACCAGCCTTGCCGCCGATCATAGCGACCTGTAGGTCAGGGCCACATTGACCTGCCGGCCAGCGACCTCGCCACCCCCAGTGACCTCGTCACCCACAATGACCCGACCTCCAGTGACCCAACCTGAGTGACCTATGGCCAGGACCAGACATAGTCTGAAGCGTTGTACACCAGTGACACCGTACACCACTGTTGACTGCCTTCACCATCACAACCAACCACCGCCATGGACAACATCGCCGCCGTCAACCACAGTCAGAAATGACGTCGGCCCCAACAACCCCAAATTTGACGCCACTGCCGCAACAGATCCAGCGCATCCGCCAACATATGTCAAACATAACCCTCTATGCGGTGACCGCCGCCACTACCATGGACGTTCATCCCAACCCCAGACCCTATCGATGGCCTCCTCTTCCCGCATACCGCTGCAACCACCTTCATCTAAATCGCTTAATACTCCTAGCCACGTGCCCTTCCGTCGCAACACATCCCAACCTTTAGATGAAGAAGGAGATCGGTGGGAGGCGACGGCGATGGCAGAGGCGGAGGTGATGGATGGGGCGACTGAGACGACGACGATGGATGGGGCGATTATGACGATGGCGATGGATGCGGCAATGGAGCCGGTGGTGATGGAAGCGATGACGGAAATAGCACCACGACGGCGGCTGCACCTCTGGAAGTAAGAATCGAGCAGACTGAACGAAGATCTGGCATTTAGGGTTTCAGTACTGTTTTTGTCTCTTCATTTATAATCACACATATATTTGTCCAGACTCCAAATGAGTTGTTGTTTCGTCTTTTGAAAGTGTATTAGTTAGGGGTGGGCGCGGTCTGGTCCGGTCCAATATTTTACCGAACTCGTACTCAGACCGTTACTATTGAAACGGTTCGGTTCGGTTCGGTCTTAGACCTAAACCCGTTCGGTTCGGTTTCATTTTCAAACGGTCCGGTATCATGTCATACCAATGCCAAACAATACCACTTTTTCGATAAATTAAAACTTAGTCATCATCCAAAAATCCACAAAATTATCAATTTTCATACTACCTCCGTCCTAAAAAACTTTGTCATTTCAAAAAATTTGAACCATGATTTTGATAGTATAGAGTATTATGAAAATTATAAATTTTATACTTTTATGAAAGTATTTTTAACAAAGAACATTTTCATATAATTTTTATATTATAAATAATTCTCAATAAAAAATATAATTGGTCAAAGTTTTGAAAATGGAAAAGTTTTTTGAGACAGAGGTAGTATTAGATAGTTAATGAATTTCTTATAAACTATAATAGTACAAAACATAAATAACTAACAATAACATAGTTAATGAATTTCATATAATACTATTCATTTTTACCGATCCGGTTAACTAGCAATTAGCAAAGTGCAAATGAGTAATCAAAGTAATTAGTGGTAATATGGTATACATGTATATATAATTATAAAATTATATAAATTAATAAAATTATAATTCGGTTCGGTCCGGTACCGGTTCTCATAAATGAGAACCGGTCATGGCATGGTTTGGAATTGGTCCGGTTCGGGACAAAATTTTTGAGAACCGTTTGAAATCCCGTTTTCCGGTCCGGTATCATACCGGTCTGGTTCGGTACCATGACGGTTCGGTTATTTTGCTCACCCCTAGTATTACTCCCTCAGTCCCAAATAATAAGATACATTTACTATTCACTTGGTCAACATAAAACACTCTTAATCTTTTACTTTATATATCAAAAGTTAATGAAATTTAAATTATTTTTTGCAGGTTTTGTAGCGGTTTTAATGTAGTTTCTGAATATGTAAATTTGAGTGTTGACAGAGATCAATTTGTTTTATCGTCGGTCAAACATCATAAACCGTTAAGTATCTTACAAACTGGGACAAAAGGAGTACTATTATATCTATCATTCTTTCTTGTAAAAATAATGTGAATTCCAAAATATGAACCATATATTTTTGAAATCTAAAGAGCGATAAGCCGATAAGTAATTACTATCATGTTTGAAAATATTGTCAATTATATAATACTCCCTCCGGTCCTTAATTAACTTTACACTTCCCTTTTTGGGTCTTCTCATATCAAACTTTACACTTCCTTATTTGACTTATTTGGCAAACAAATGTACACCAAACAGTGCCAAACAGTGCCAAGCAGTGTACTCTACAGTAAAGTCAAATTTATTTCCTTAATATGTGTGAAGTCAAAGTGTAATGTTTAATAAGTAACTGAGGGAGTACTACATATGTCCACCTAAGTTTGGGAGAAATGAGTGTGGTGTTGTTTTTAAGAAAAAATAGAATTGTGTGGTTGGTATAGAATTGATAAAGTGTGAATAAAGTAAGAATGAATTCTAACCACTCAAATATTACCAAATATGGTACTACCTCCGTCCCTTAATACTTTGCCAAAGTTGACCGGCACGGAGAATAATAAAGTAAAAACTGTATGGTTGAGGGTTGTGACGGAGACGTTACTTAATCCTCTTATGATTGAAACTATGGAGAAGTAAATATGTTAATTGTGTCTCCAAATTGTACTGAAAGGCCTATAAATATTTCTTGTAAATAACCTAAAAGGGGATCGCCTATTAAATAATAGTACTATATTACGCTGCCAAAATATCTACTTCCTCTGTCCCGCTAAAATTGTCTCATCTTTTCTATTTTGGGGTAAAATATATTAATATAGTACTCCTATTTCGAAGTTTTACATTATTTTTATTCATGTTTCTGAAATTCTACCAATAATATTTTGACATACCAAATAGGAATATAAGGAGATCTTGTAGTTTAGTTACAAAATATATTTATATTTTGGGACAGGTGGAGTAACAAAATATATTTATATTTGACTTTATATTTCAGTCAAATATAAATAGGTCGCTTACACCTAACAAAGCTCAGGCATATCGTGCCGCATTAAACTAAACCAGACAAAATCTAAAAATATTAATATGAGATTTGTGTTTTCATTCTGGCGCACTTTATCAAACAATGCATCAAACCTGAAATATGAACATCATCATGTAATCTTAAATATTAATTCTATTTTTATTATTTTAGCATAATTTTTTTACGAAAAAAATAACTTTAAAAACAAAATATTTTTTGTTAGAACACACTTAAATTTGAATTAAATTTTTATATCAACTTTTTTGTTAAATTCCTTTTAATTATATTTTGACATTTAATTAAAAAAATGTTACTCCATACTATTTTTGTATTTTAACAAAAAACGATTCACATGATAATAAGATTATAAGATCATCAAGGATAGGGGTGGACTAGGCCTGTTCGGTCCGTCCCGGCCCGTTATTGTACAGGCCCGACCCGGGGGTCCAGGATCGGGATCAGGACTAGGGCCAGAACCGGGGGATTATAGAGGTGGGCTACGGACATCGAAATAGGTGGACCGGATGATCGATTAATCAAATAAGGCAAAGAGGCACGCTTCTTCTAATGGCTGCTCATGCCACTTGATAAAAAATATCTTAATGAGCTTGAGTATAATACTAACCTAATAAAAAATGGAGGCCCTCTAAATTTGGAGGCTATGTGCAAGTGCACCAGTTGCACCCGGCCAGGCCGGGTCTGATTCTTAAATGTAAAAGTTGGCAGAAAAAATGTGAATTGGGCCATAAACAATTATTACTTTAAATAAGCATAATGTGTAACATAAAAACTAGACATTCATTTTTTCAAATGAGAACTATCGAGTATCCCCACAAGTAATAGTTAATGAATTTATTATCATAGTATTCCTTTGTTCCTTAAGTGTCATAAAAATTATTATTCATAGAGTCTTGCAAAGTACCAATGATCAGAAATATACACAATATTTTAGAGGAGACATAAATTTAGATGATGTCAAAAGTATCACCGGTTATCTTGTGTACTTATTAATCTTTTGATGATTTGAATGGTCATATTTGAAATCAGATAGAAAGTGACTTCACATCATTTTTATTATATATACTTGAATTGTTACAATATGGAATAACTATTTAAAGATCATATTTATTACTACGTATAATTTTTACAATTTGCGTATAACTTTTCTCACACCGGTGCCAATAGAATCAAAGTGTTAATGGACTTGCACTCAGGCTTCAGTGGCATCTCATGTCAAGATTGTTAACGAACCGAGCTTTTATCGAATTACTAGAGTTTCTAACAAGCCGAGCTTAACGAGCTTTCGTACTAGAACCCGAGCTCGATTTTATATTCGAACAATAATCGAACCAAGCCCGAAGATAATAGTATTCGGCTCGGTTCGACCATATCAATATGTACTACTATGATTCATATATATGTTAAAATTTAAATGAAATTAGTACTACTATGATTTAATGTATTTAAATATGATTATTAATGAACAGAATACTTGTCGAATAATTCAATCACATGCTTATTAATGAGCATCACTTAAAATTTTAAATTCAAACATATTTATCAAGCTTATTGAGTGTTCGATTCCATCATCGAACATTTATCAAGTCAAACACGAGTTTCATTTGTAAAGCTCCACTATTGCCTAATCGAGCCAAACTCGATCTCTGGGTGTTCTGTGTTTAGCCTCGGCTCGTTAATAGCTCTAGTCATACTTGCCTATTTTGCTTCTAGGATGGAACCTTAAGTCATGACCTTGTAAGTTCCACGATAATGTGTTGTGTGAACTTTTTGAAATAAAACCAGGAGTTTTGATAGACAACTATCGTTTATATATTATACCATCACAGCTTTCTATGAGAAAATTTTTACTCTGATCGTAGAGTTAGAAAGAAACCATACAAGCAACCCAAAGCTAAGAAGCAATATTAACAAACTAAAAACATAGTATTTTGGTGGGGATCAGGTGATTTAGTTGAAGACTTCCTTCTCATATGGAAGTTCTGGAGATACTACTTAGATATGGTTGTCTGGAGTGGAAGTGCACTTTCGACCTCCTTCACTTCAGCATTTCTTTCAGCCACAACTTTGGACATTCCAAACATCTGAGAGGATTTGCTAGCCAGAATTAATAACCATGGCATAATGGATTTATACTCAGTGACAAAGATAAAACCACAAGTCCATAACTGCAGTCTCACATAAATTATAAACTAGAGTTTCAAAGCAAACCTTCTCAATAGTCTTCTTGAAGCATGTTTTATGCTCATCCATTGAAGCATGTATAAATTCGTCAATATGATCCCTCACGTCCTCTATGAAAGTAGCAGTTTCAGACTTCTTCTTCCGGCATGAAGATTTCGCAGCACTTGCCGGTGTCAACGGGGTCTGTGTCTCAGGTTTAACTCCTTCAGTAGCCATTACTCTGTTTACACATACACAATAAAAAAAGGATGACACCTCATCCCTGAGGGCTCCCAACCCTGACCAGACGGTACGTTGGGAGGATGTAAATTGGACTATAATCCCAATCGACAGATAGAGAGTGAGGCTCTGTCCCCGGTACTTGCAGAGGCCCTATGCATTTTTAGCATAATAACGCCTCATCGCAGTTGACGGGATTCGAACCCGGGACCTAACCCTTGTGGCACTCCCTTGCTACCAGTTGAGCTACGCCAACCGGTACACATACACAATAAGAATACATATGAGCCAATGGAATATTATAGTACGTAGTACAAAATTGCAGGTTTACTAAGCAGGTGTTTGTTCGTTCTTTTCCTTTTGGCATGATTATGCCCTCCCAACTCCTAATCCGTGAACGCTGTTCTTTAAAATCAATTTGCATGCCAATATGCCATACATGAAAATTTGAAATATAAAACGGGAAAAATTGACTCAAACGTAACATATAAATCGCGGATCGAAACTTTCCTTCGGGCTTATATCTGAATAGTACCACCATTGGTACTATGACATGAACGCACTCTTAAACATAACATGTACCGAGAATTATGATTTCAGTATGTAGAGTATATACAAATTATTTAAAATAGGCCAAGGCCTCAAGTATAAAATATTTAAATTATTGAAAACAAGCATTACATGATACTATTTAAAATATATACCTCGATAAAATTTTTGTAAAATATATACCTCGATTAAATTGTGCACAGAGTTTAGAGTTAAGATTTAATTTTTATAAATAGGCCAAAGTCCTCAAGTTTAAATTTTTGTAATTAGGTCAATTGCTGCCGTGTCATCCTTAGAGATCCAACTGTTTAGGGTTTTGTAAAAATTAGGAAAAGAAATCCATCAATTACACACGATGAAAGTGAAATTGAGGAATAACATACTGTATTAAATTCAATAACGGTTCATATCAATTCATAGGAGAGATTGAGAGCATAAGACCGGGATAAACTGCAACTTGCCTGAGCAAAGTAGGAAAGGACGAGTCACCGAGTAACAACAAAAAGCCTGCAAACCAAGGACGAATGAAAGGAAATGCACATATCAAATTTAAAATCAAACTTAAAATACAGGAATGCAAAGTTTAATAGCTATGGAGAGATCAGAGAAAATTCAGTGTGAGTGAAGAAGAAAGGGAAGGGCGGTGGTGAAACCTTCTCTGACCCGCTGTGGAGATCTCTACTTGAAGATTGACGCAACTCGACACATATGTCATATGCACCCTCCAGTCTTGGAGAAGAGGTCACGATTATTCTGTGGAGGCTTGGAGAAGGGGTAAAGTTTAAAAATTTGGATAATATGCACTTTCGTATATTTTACTTGTAATTTGTTTTTATGTCTTTAAATTAGAAAGAATTATATATTTATGACTAAAATAAATATTGTTTATAAAAATTTGATTAGTAATTAAAGTAGTAATGAAATCATGGTAATTTATGTTCAATTGTTATAATTAAATTACCCTTACACTATATTGTGTTCCCTCCGTCCCGTTAACAATGGGACAAGAACGGGTGTCACACAAATTAATAAAAAGTGGTTTATGTGATTGATATTGAATTGATAAAGTAAGAATAAAGTAAGAATGATTTAGAGCCACACAAACTTTACCAAATTTGGTAAGGGACAATCTTAGTGGGATGGACCGATAAGGTAAAATGGGACAATCATAGCAGGACGGAGGTAGAGTAACTATTAGTCATACTTGTGTAAATAACATTTATTTTAGTAATGTTTTTGTAAAAAAAACCTTTAATTACCAAGAGCCCGATTGTTAAATTTTATTTTCAGTTTATCGCTATTATCAAACACCTTTTATCAAATACGACGTATGTAATTATTATTTGTCGAGAGCTAGGTTTTTCTCTCGCTTCTCGAGAGCTAAGTTTTGCTCTTGTCTGTCGAGAGCGGTGCAATGTCGCACTTCTGCGGATCAGTTTTTTTCGACATTTTGATCTAGTGCAGGGTCAAGAAAGGATAAACATGATTTTCATGGATGATCTAAATTCTAAAGCAGCGTTGTCCCATTTCAGCAATTGAGAATGAGGTAGAAGGGTTAGTTCTTGGCGGGTCAACATGGGTGGGGGACAGTAATGGCAGTGGAGGCGGCATGGGCAACGAGCAGACTAGGAGAGGTGAAGTACCGAGCAAGGAAGAAGATAGATCGGTGGTCCGCCCCCTCCTAAACTGCCGCCTTGGAGCGATCGAGGAGTTTGAGTTTGGAAGATTTATTAGTTATTTGATTTTTTTATCTTATTTTCGCATTATGTTTTATGTTGCTCTGTTTTTGTTGATGTCTTTAGCTTTATATCTACAATAATGATTGTCATTTTTGCTAGTTATTATGGCGTTAGAATGATCTATATGGTCAGATATTGTTGTGTCACAACCGTGTTTATAATATCGCTTATGTATGCACTTTTTACTATTTGTGGTTCATTCATTTTCAATTTGCTAGAGATATTGAAGGTTTTCTATATCAAGATAGAAGCATAGAGGTTGACATGATCAAACTAAGGTTCCATCTGTCCTTTACATGGTTAGCGACTCCGCGACTTATTTGTATATAACAAAGTCCAAGCCGAATAGCAGGCCTTCTCGGTGAGAATTGTATGGTTAGCGACTGCGCATGCTTATTTGTATGGGCATCGTACAAATTCCTTATACAGTTCACCCAACCTCAGGGCGTTGGTGAGAATGGTGATGACATATCTGTCATCCAGGTTGTCCTCCTTCACTAATTCATCCCTCCGACGAGCTAGGAAGGCGGCTAAGCTCTCCTAGCGTCCTTGTTTGACTCTCAGAAGGTGAGAGAAGTTCTTCTAGGGGTCATTAGAGCTGGCAAATCGTGCAATGAATGTTGGGCTAACTCCCAGAAGTTTTGGATCTTCCCGTCAGGCAGGGAGTCGTTCCATTCCCGGCTCAGCCCGTCCAGTGTCACTGAGAATCCTTTGCACCTGATCACATCACTATATCACATCATGAACATGTAGGCCATGTACCTATAGACATGATGTTGGGGTCGGTCTTTCCCACGTAGGCATCAATGTTACAAGGCTTATACCCTTGCGGCAGTGGGGCATCCATAATCTGGCAGGTAAATGGCTCGGGAATCCTCACATCATGGTTGAGGTTAATCCGGCCATCCACCGCCCTCCTGAGGTCGTCGTCATCATGGCCCGCCTAGGCATGGGGTGGAGAAAGGCGATCTCTGCGCCCCCGTGGATTTGCATTGATCTCATTCCGAAGATCTCCCCCTCGCGCGCTGCGACAGTGGGAAGAGACCGCCGCGGAGGACGCCTCCTCACTTCGGTCCGCCCGGGAGGAGAGCCTGTCATGCACAAATACCCTCCATCCTCCAATCCTATTCATCACTAGGTTCCTCAATGACTTCCTGGAATGATGAGACCGCTAAGACCTTGCCGGTGGAGAATTCCTTTATCGTTGTGCAGATATTTCCTCGTTCCGCGGGGGAATGGATGGAGCCCAGCGTGGAGGCAGAGGTCTTTTCATTGGTATTGGGAACGGTTTCTTGGAAGGCAGTGGTTAATGTTTACACGACCCTGTGGAACGTAGCTAAACTCGCCAAAGCCTGCGCGGGATCCACGTTTGGGACGAGGTTCCCGGTGGCCGGCGTTTGGGATTGGGGTGGACGCGTCGCTGGACACCTGGAACGCCCAAAGTCTCGCAGCTGGTTCCTCAGGTCACCCGGAGTCACCACGTTATCGTTTCTCCTACGGAAATCACTTCGTCGTGACCTAGACCCTTCGTCTTCGATCACAACTTGATCAAAACGTGCACCACCTTGATTGCTACCAACACGGTTGTGACTGTGTGATCCAACCATTGTCATCGTAGATCATTCTCTCAACGAGAGCACCAAATGATGGAGTTTAATCCAACTACGAGAGCTATATTTACGAGAGCAGATCAAATTTAGGCAGCGTAAGGCAGTATTGTTATTCCGGAATCCGGTCCTTTGGTAGGACGTACATGGGAAGTATTTATAGACCTTGGAAACTAGTGTTCTAGGAGGAAACATATACATTAAATGCTGTTAATTACATAGAGTCCGGTAACGTCTTGGCCGTTGTGCATTGATTGCTTCCCCTAGGTCCATGTTTCTTCCGTTATCCCGGCCTGGTGCCAGATAGCTATGCACGAATGATAGCCTGCCACATAAGCCCTAGGAAGAGTCTGACCTCGATAGAACTCCACATAGGCTTGAGGTCTGCTGTCCAGCCTGACATGGTTGTGGGTTCCTTTCGCGGGTGGGATTCCTAGTTAGGCACTTAGGCCCAACGGCTAATTAACTTTAATCCCGCTAAGGGCTAATCCCGTTCATGGGCTTAATCCCGTTGAGACCGGGCTGATCCCGTTAAGGGCTAGTCCTGTTTAGGGTTGATCCCGTGTATGAGCTTTACCATGAATTCGTACTTGGGCCATGGCCTTGGTCCATGGTACCATCACACATGTAATTTATATACCCTAAACTTTAAATAAAAAGTTATTTTTGCACCATTGTCATGTATTATTTCTTTCAAAAATGTAAATTTATGAGGTTAATTGCATTATTTAAAATAGAAAATTAAAAGTGTTGCTATTATCACTTATTTGATTTTTCTATCTTATGTTTTACGCTTGTTCTGTTTTTGTTGATGTCTTTAGTTTTAGAACTACAATAATGATTGACATTTTTGCTAGATAGTATGTTGTTAGAATGATCTATATGCACAGAGATGATTGTGTCACAACTATGTATAATATCACTTATTTATGCACTTTTTACTATTTGTGGTTCATTCATTTTCAATTTGCTAGAGATATTGAAGGTTTCCTGTATCAAGATAGAAGCATAGAGGTTAACATGATCAAACTAAGGTTCCATTTATCCTTTACATGGTTAGCGACTTCGCGGCTTATTTGTGGATAGCAAAGTCCAAGCCTAATAGCAGGCCTTCTTTCTGGGGGCTGATATTACCTTTAGTATATCGTAATGATCTTTGTTTAATTAACTTCAATATAGAATGTTTCCTTTCAAAAAAAAGTTGTTTTAATCTACTAATAAAATATATTTTACAACAACATCCAAGCCTTAGTCCCAAAAGATATTGAGGTCGGCTAACATGAATCGATACATGATATCACAACCAAAAGGAAAAAAAGAAAATAAAGATAAAAAAGATAAGCTATTATAAAACGATGATATAAAAAGAGATGAATATACATAAAAATGATAAAATAAAAAGGCTACAAATAATGCTTATATATAAGGATAAAAAACAAGGGAAAAAAAGATGAGGGAAAAAGATTATACGAGATCACTCCTTCACGCGAATACCCTCCCTCCACTTAGTTCTCTCCAAAGTCATGCCCTCATCCAACCCCAGAAGAAGCATATCACTTCGAACTCCCCTAACCCACGTCTGTTTGGGTCTTCCTCTCCCTCTCTTCCATGCCTCTTCTCCACACATCTCAACTCGTCTGACAGGTGCATCACTCGGTCTTCTACGCACATGACCATTCAATTGCTTCATCCAACATTTTATCAACTTCAGTAGATTTGATCGATTGATTCAATTTTAGTATTACCAAACAAGCCTTAAATAAATAACTCAAATTCTATTATTTATATGAAACATCTTGAATATAATACTACCCCTATCCCACAAACACTTGGACATGAGGAGGAGGTGTTTTTATTAAGAAAGGTGGCTTTGTGTAGTTGATATTGAATGAACAAAATAAGAATGATTTAAAATTACACAAATCTCATCAAATTTGGTATGAGATGTTGGAAAAATATGTTAAAATTGCATTAAATGGTTAATTTGGGACAGAACTTTGAGTGAGTCCCACATCCGACTTGGGTCGGATCAAAGTGCTTTCGGATTCCACTTGTTAAGGACTTCACTTCGATATGTGGTACACTCAAAACGGATAACGGGTGAATGAAAAAATGATTCTCGATGTTCACTCATTGAAATGGAGAAAACTATGAAAAAATGTGTTTCTAGTGTGATTTATCTCACAACGGAAAACCCAAATGATTTCACTCCTTTATAAAGGCTACCATCTTTGAAGGAGTTAAGATTCCTAGGTGGAAAGACTCTCTTCACGCGCAGGGGGTAACGATCAAATCCCGAAAATGGGGAAGAAAAACTGCGACTTGCGTGTGCGAACGACATGACTATACGAATGTCGTCCAAAAATCTATCTTACAAAGATACGATTTAATTTTTGTTTCTGACAAAAATCTATCTTACAAAGATATGATTTTTTTTTTCGAGAATCAGCGGGCTGGCAGAACCCTTTTGTTATGGTCGCGCACCAGAAGAGCCCTTTGATGACCCCTAATAAGATAAAAGTTTAGAGGGGGGTTAATAGACTTTTAAATCTTTTTCTATTTTGAGTCCCTTTCCCTCTTTGAGAGTTGATTCTTAAACTTTTTGAAAGGTTTAGAATCAATAGCAAAAGTGTTGACTTTTTATGAACACACTTACCATTTAATAAATGGGCAAGAGGTGATTGTGGGATTTGTATGGTGAATTATGAAGAGGTAGAATGTATGTGGGATCAAGTCACATTTCAAGATTTGATAGTAGATTGAGGAGTTGTTGCCATAGTGAAATCGGTAGGCAGCTTAAAAGCTAATTTTGAGAGAACTATTTTTGGAAGATGTTTAGGACATGTTTCGAAAGTGGAGAGGACTGTTCAACTTTAGCTGGGTATACAAACTAGTTTTGCATCGACGCGGCTTGCTGTAGGACTTAGTGTGCGATTTGTGGAACTTAAAATGATGACACGGTACTATATCCTGGTTCAGAGGTGTTGTAAAAACGGGTGAATGAGAAATTTATTCTCGAAGTTCACTCGTTGAAATGGAAAAAACTAGAAAAATGATGGGTTTCTAGTGTGAGATTTCCACACCGGAAAACCCAAGTGATAAAGAGAACCCTCTTTGAAGGAGTTAGGATTCCTAGGTGGAAGGACTATCTTCGCGCACATGGGGTGGTGATTAAATCCCAAAAACGGAGAAGAAAAACCGCGACTTGCGTGCACGAGCGACCTGCGGACTCGAATGCCGTCCGAAAATCTATCTCTCAAAGATACGATTTAATTTGTTCTTCCCGTAACGATCCTATTTTTTGCTCCAGAACCAGCCCCTTGGCAGGCTGCTGCAGGCTGTTGAACGGCCAGTAGCAGGCTGCTGGTGAACCGATACAGCATTGAATGTCCAACCTTCTTTTACCTAAATGCAATTGAATGGACGAGTTTTTGGTCGAATTGATGGCCAACATTGTGGTCATTTATGTCCAACGTTCATGTGCTTTGCAACAACACACGACACAACACGGTCTTCATGTAGTTTTTGAGCTAAACAGCCTCCAGATTTCTGAATATTTCCCGAGTGTTCTGTCTTTGTTTTCGTTCTCCGAAACAATCGGTTGTGTGTTCAAATGATTGGTCGTTAGCCACCGTATCCTGGGAAACTATCGTTGCAACGCTCCTAGCACTGTGGGAGACAACGAATACGTTTTAAAGACATTGTGTGTTGAACAAGCTTTGTCTTTTGTGTTCCATCTTATTTATGTTTTCTTTGACTATTTTAATTGATTAATTAATTAATTGATTTCTTTATTTTTCCGAATTCACCCAACAACTTGGTCGAAATGGAAGACACGCTAAAAGAGAAAAATGCAATTAATTAGGGTTTTGCTACTCCCTTTGTCCCTGAAAAATTTTTCACTTATTTTTTGGGACGTCGTCCCAAACAATTCTTCTCATTTTTCTTTTTGGAATGGTTTGTGTGGCTATCATTCATTTAGATTTTTCTTACACAACTATAACGATGCATTTCCATTTTATTTCCATTTTGTTAAATTCCGATCCAACTCGAATCGGGAAGTATTTTGTGGGAAGGAGGGAATATTTATTTATATGAGGGGATCTAAATGGTCTCCTTTTGTCCAAATTCAAAATGAGTGTTTTTTTATGTTATTTAATGTAAAGATGATGATAGTATTATTTTTGTTATTATTCATTTAAAAACTGAACTTTGTATCATGTTTTTGGTGAATTTTATTCATTCAGACATTTAACATGATGTATTTTAAAATAATATTTTGTTTATTAGTTTCATCCCATTTCACCATAAAAAACATAAGGAAGTTTCCGAAATAGAAGTAAAAACGTTAGAGAATTCCAAAACAAGACTACTATGTTTTTATTACCTAAATAGAAGTAATTATTCTTAAATTTGGAAAGTAATATCACTTTTAAGTCCGATACTACCAAAACATGATAATATTTATTTCTATTTAGATAATAAAAAGGTCATATTTTTGTATACACAAATATTTAAACTTCCATTTAGCTTAATTTCCAAAAAACATTCCATTTCCCCTCAAAAAACAAAATTGGTAACAAATCGGTTTAAGTGGCTCAATCGATTCGGCCCTTTTCGTAATGAAAGAAAGGTCGAAAGTTGAAAATTGAAACTTGAAAGCATGGTTTGTTGAAAGGAATTGGACCACCATGTTCAGTCGGCTATCCACAGACTGAATCATAATTTCGTTTCCATTTTTACACATCCGTCCGCCACCTTGCCTCGATCTCCATCCACCGGACCCCGAGTAACTGAGAATGGAGCCGGATGTGAGCATCGAGACGAGCTGCATGATCCGTGTAGCGGTCATCCCAATTGGGTCAATTCCGATCCCGCTCTTCCGAGATTACACGTCCATGCTGGTCCGCCACCACACCATATCGCTATCCTCCATCAGCTCCTTCTACACAGAGCACCAGAAGTCACCGTTCTCCCACCAGCCTTGGGACTCCGGCAGCCTCCGGTTTAAGTTCATGGTCGGCGGATCTCCGGCTAGCCCTTGGGAGGACTTCCAGTCTAATCGTAAGATCCTCGCTGTCCTTGGCATTTGCCACTGCCCTTCATCCCCTGATCTCCACTCCGTCGCCGACCAGTTTACCTCTTCCTGTAAGGTTTACTCGTCTTCGCTTGTTCAACGCTGCTTCGCCTTCTGCCCTGGAGATTCCCAGGTTCTAATGCTTAACTTTTTCATTGTTCCCTTGCACTGGAAGCTATAGCTGTCCATAAATAGTCGAATAATCGTATTGCATTTTTTCTACATCCCTGCTTATAATTTTCAAATGTCTGTCGTAAAGTACCTACCTTTATGATAGCAATATGGTTCTTTGAACTGTAATATGAATTTACTGGAAGTACGTAAGAAAAATTTTGTGATGATTTTCCTTCTAATATAGTTGCACAGCTATGACCTTTTCGTGGCTTCAGCTTTGTTCGGCTTTGACCCGTTGGCATTTGACTATGTGGAATTTTCAGAATGCTGCATTCTGCTTGGGATAAAAGATAACTATATGCATGATGACACTAAATACTAACATTCTATTTTACATACTCACATCATGAAGAAAATAAATTGCTTAGTTGGAGATCTGGCTCTTTAAGTGCCCCAAATATCACACTTCTCAAAGATAGTTTCATGTCATATTCACTCAATGCATTACTTAAAGTTTTGGTCTAATGGTTATCAGTTTGATTGTCCTTCTCTAAGTATATTACTTTGATATGCATTGATGGCAGTTAGAGGATGAGAGTCATAAAGGGAGAAACATAGTTTTGTTTCCGCCGGCGGATAGACAAACTCAAGAGTTTCACTTGCAAACTATGATGCAAGATATTGCTGCCTCACTGTTGATGGAATTTGAAAAATGGGTTCTGCAAGCAGAGTCTGGTGGAACTATTCTAAAGACTCCTTTAGACTCTCAAGCTAGCCTGAGCTCAGAGGAGGTTTATATTTTAGGTGTTCCAAGTATTTGTTTGCACATTACTTTCTTGTTTAGTATCCACACTCCCTACTTTTCTGTTTCATTGTTGAATTTTGACTTGGCAAGTTGGCATTATGTTTTATATAACTTATAGGTTATCAAGGCAAAGAAAAGAAGGCTTGGGAGGGCACAAAAAACTATTGGAGATTACTGTTTGTTGGCTGGGTCACCTGTTGATGCCAATGCACATTATTCCACTGCACTTGAACTCGCTAGGTTGACTGGTGACTTCTTCTGGTACGCTGGTGCAATGGAGGGGAGTGTATGCGCATTGATGGTAAGTAGTTCTCGATTTGGCTTATATCTTTACTCTACACAGTTAGTAGATGTGCTTTATTACTTCTGTGCTGATGCTATTATCCATACATCTTGGTTGGTTATGTTACCTGAAATCATCTCATCATCTGTCCTCCCTCATGAGCCCATGGCTTATTTAATGACTAAATGATGGATGCACAAGAGTACTAAACACAATAAAGGGTCTTTATAACAAAGGTAAGGAGATTTTTTACTAGAGTACTAAACACAATAAAGGATTTTATAATAAAGGTAAAAAGAATCTTTTAATTAAGTTCTGGTTATGGGATAACAAGTTCTAATGCCTAGCTTGTGACTTTTCATTCATAATGACTGTACGTTTTATGTGCAAAGTCTTGTTGGTGCTTTCTTATTCATTCATTATTTGTCCTGTTTCTTTGTAAAAAAGTGCATTACCATTTTTTTAATTTATCAGATAGATCGTATGGGACAAAGAGATCCAGTTCTAGAGGATGAAGTCAAATATCGTTACAATAGTGTCATAATGCATTATAGAAAATCATTTATACAAGACAATGCTCAGAGGTTGGTGTTATATTTCGATTAATCGATTTATAAAGCTCCTATGACTTGGTGCATGTTACTATTATGTTCAGTATGGTTAACCGGTTAAAATATTATATATTATATCTTAGTATGGTGTTCAAGATATCTAACTTTATCCTGATATCGTTTTTTGCAGAGTTTCACCTTTAAGCTTTGAGCTTGAGGCTACACTGAAATTAGCTAGATATTTGTGTAGGTAATTTCCCCCTATTTATATTAGTTATGAAATATAAGGCATACGATTTATTTTGGTGTTTTATCATGCCTATTCCTAACTGTACTTTATTGTGTTAAGTTTACTTTGGCGAGTAAAAATGAAGTTTAATGATTTTAGAGCTTTGGTATTGGGGGTCAAATTAGAACTAGATGATTTAAGCTGTAGCAAGGCTCAAAATTGCATATTGCAAATTTATGGCGTTTTTTATGATTGCGTATCACGTAAGCCTCATTGCGCAATGAGGCATAACTCTTACACACACTATGTAGTTAGAAGTAATAAGAAATATATATTTATCCAAAACAACAAATTTTATAAACATACCAACAATGAAGTAATAAAGTAATGGAAATCTTGAGTTCAAACATAAGATGATATAATTTTTATTATGAAATGCTAAGTTTATTAGATTGATGTCATAACTCATACTGTGCATATATTAACATGGACAAAAATAGTACTGCATCTAATTACTACCCAACCAAGAATATATCTTTTTACATACACATAAATGTATAACAAACTTAGAGTACCATACCAAGGCTTACCCACTAGTAAATTAATAATATCAAATATAATATTACTGTTAAAATTTAAAAAATGAGCGCACCATGAACTAAAAGAGGCGGAGAAGGGGAGGAATAAGAGAAGTGAATCCAAAAAAAAACCTTGCAGACGACTAGGTGCGAAGTGCGCGCTAGTGATGAAGAGATGACAGAGCCGATGAGGAGAGGTATGCGCAGCAGGGTGTATTATTGAAATAATAATCGGGTTTAAACAGAGGTAGATCAACTTTACGACCCGTATGAACTGAGAATCTATTATAATCATCATGTCGTCTGTGATTAATAGGAGTTGAGTGTTCGGAAATACCTCCTGAGGCTGTTGGACTGTTCGAAGATCGTGTATGGTGATGATGATGAGATCACGATCTTCCTCTAGCCCGAAACTCTTCGCTCATCGCATTCATCCTTCCAGCGATGTTTTCCATCATCGTTCTCATCTGTATCAAGGTTTCTTCCATCACGACCTTGCTACGTTCCATTGCTTCCATTCGATTCTCCATCTTAGCTCTCATCCAGACCATTCACAGCTGGAACGGAAATTTCTGGCGATGCGACAACAATTCCGGTCACCAGAAACGACTGCTCTGATACCAATGATAGAACACTGGTAGGAATCGATATAGAACAGTAGAGAATCTATAGCAATCAAACTAAGAACAGATCAAAAGAGTTTATTAAGTAAGGGAAGATCGAAATAGGTATACAATGCTAGGGACAATTCGAGATGCCCAATCTCCAAGTCTACAGCCAACCGAAATAACAGCCTACTACTTCCAAGTTAACTGCTAACAGTCTTCTTACTCCTCCTATGATAGACTTTATTAAAATATTGAATAGGCTGCTGCATAAGCCTATCAGTTCTCTTCTCCCATCTCTTCTGCAAGTTTTTTTTTCAGATTATATTTTCTTTTCTCAGACAGTGATGGTAGTACTGATGGTGATGGGAGTGTCAGTGGTGATGGTACTATTTTGATGTGGTTATGACTCTTTTATTGTTTGTTCTTAGTCTTAACATAAATTTGTATTAAGAACCGAGGATTGTTATATGAAGTACTGACATCAAACCTGCATCATGGATAATGACCAAAATGTTTACAACATTAATAAAAAGGCCTTTTGAGCACTCAACAACACATTTCTTCCCACGATTGCATCATTTTATTTATATCATGAGCAGTTTTGTGTGTGTTTTGAAAATTGCTGAACTTATAAATTTTATTTGATACCCTATTTTAAGCTTTCTGAGATCCATTTCCTTATAGTACATTAAGCTTTCTGTGTGCCATTATATACCTTACTAACTCTACCCTATTTTATCTGCAGACGGGAGCTGGCTAAGGAAGTCGTTGAGTTGTTGACAGCTGCTGCTGATGGAGCAAAATCTTTAATTGATGCTAGTGACAGATTGGTTTTATATATTGAAATAGCTCGACTCTTTGGTAAACTTGGTTATCAGCGGAAGGCTGCCTTCTTCTCTAGGCAGGTTGCTCAGCTTTACTTGCAACAAGAGAATAGATTGGCTGCTACCAGTGCTATGCAAGTATTGGCAATGACCACTAAAGCATACCGTGTCCAAAGCAGAGCTTCTGCTCAACATCAACATGCTATTTGTCAGGTGATCTAAACAAAGAGTGCGTAGTATCAGTGGCTAACTGAATAACATACTTCTTTTTTGGAACTGAACTTATATGTGTATCTTGATTTACTTGTATTGATATCATGCTATCCTTGCATATATAAATGACAACACTTCTCTTTAATTTTAAGCGTTGTGATATTTTTCGTTTACATAGATTGGAGTTGGATTGTTTAGGTGTCTTAGTTTTTTTATCTCCAATCTCCTTCCAATTGTCAGTTCTGGATATGGGTAATTGAATACAGGTTGTTTTTTGCTCTGATCAAGTTCAATACAGAAGTTGGACCTGCTAATAAAAAACGTGAGACTGAGGGGTGTGGTGGACGAGAAGAGAATATATATTTTATTTTTTTTATAAAAATCAACAGTTCTGGATTATGTGTATAAACAATGTATTTCAACTCTCTATTTTTCTTAAAGGCCACTGGACCAACTCACGTTGATGGAGGGAAAATGCATCACAACTGGATAGTCTCACTTTTTGAATCTCAGTGGAGCACACTTCAGATGGTTGTGCTGAGGGAAATACTTCTATCTGCTGTCCGTGCTGGAGATCCTCTTGCTGCATGGAGCGCAGCGGCACGACTTCTAAGATCTTATTATCCGTTGATTACCCCAGCTGGGCAAAATGGATTGGCAAGTGCCCTTTCGAATTCATCTGAGAGGCTTCCTTCAGGAACTCGTTGTGCTGATCCTGCCCTGCCTTTCGTCAGGTGTTTGCCAGCACCCAATAAGTTCATTTTATTGATGGTTTTTCATAAATTCATGACATTGTGTGTCTGTCTGAATGTCTTTCCTAACAATTGTTTGTTTTATATAAATAAATGCTCCCTAGGTTGCATTCATTCCCACTTCATTCCTCACAACTGGACATAGTAAAGCGCAATCCTTCTAGGGAAGATTGGTGGGTTGGATCTGTGCCATCAGGACCTTTTATTTATACACCATTCAGCAAAGGGGAGTCAACTCAAAGTAGTAAACAGGAGTTGATTTGGGTTGTTGGTGAACCTGTTCAAGTCCTGGTGGAGTTGGCAAATCCTTGCGGTTTTGACTTGATAGTTGACAGTATATATCTATCAGCCCATTCTGAAAATTTTGATGCTTTCCCTGTCAGTGTTAATCTTCCTCCTAATTCAGCTAAGGTGATTACATTATCTGGAATTCCTACTAAAGTGGGATCGGTGACAATTCCTGGATGCATTGTTCATTGTTTTGGTGTTATCACTGAACATTTCTTTAAGGAAGTTGATAATCTGCTCCTTGGAGCAGCACAAGGACTAGTGTTGTCTGACCCTTTCCGCAGCTGTGGTTCTCCTAAGTTGAAGAATATACCTGTTCCAAACATTTCAGTGGTTACCCCACTGCCATTGTTGGTGTCACGTGTTGCTGGAACTGATGGTGCTATTATCCTTTATGAAGGTGAGATTCGTGAAGTGCATATTACTTTGGCAAATGCAGGTACAGTTCCAGTTGAGCAAGCCCATATTTCATTGTCAGGGAAGAACCAAGATTCAGTTATATCAATCACGTATGAAACCATGAAGTCTAGCCTTCCTCTCAAGCCTGGTGCGGAGGTGACAATATCTGTCACTTTAAAAGCTTGGCAGCTTGGGATTATAGATCCTGATGCTGCTCCCAACAAGAGTATTTCCCCAAACTCTGGGAGACAAATCAAAGATGGAGTCAGCCCAATGTTGCTGATCCACTATGCAGGTAAAGACACTTTAAATTACCATGTGAAATGTGATTTAATAGGATTATCCATTATGAAATTGAGAACATTTGAATTACTTTATATAATCGATCTTTATCGATGCATCTTCTCTTTTCTTCTCACACATCACTCTTATCTTTCAAGCAAATTTAGTGTTTGTGTTTTTTCCAAGTTTATTAAGGGCTACTTAAATCTCATAGTTTATGAAGCTTTGGTCTTCATCTTCTTAGAATTTTGTGTTGTCAAAATGCGGGTACCATTTTCAGATTTGAGGCTGAGGAAAACCACATTGAGGCTTTGCTATGAAAAAGGCTTACACAGCATATGACCGCGGGGGCGCCTCATACGCCGCATGGACTTTTCCAACAAAGCCTCTTAAATGTGATGGTTTTTAAGCTGCACATTTTGTCTTATTCTGCAAGGCTCATAGCATATTAAGCTCATTGATATCCATATGTGACTTTATAAAATTTATGCATTTAAGTCATGGAATAAGAAAATAGGTATCCAATCAAACAATCTTCTTCAGACTTCTTGAGGACTTCTCACATCGTCACCGTTTTCCTCATCTTCTCTACTTGGTGCGGGCATCTTCCAGTAGACTTGCAAAGCTAGTTGTGTTTCTTTTGTCCAAGTGCACTTGAAATAATGAAGTGTTCCACTTAGCGTGTAACCATCTATGTCAGCTTTATTCTTTCTTTGATACAACAACAACATCATCCATGCCTTAATCCCAAAAGAATTTGGGGTCGGCTAACATGAATCGATCTATGATATTGATGGCAAACAGACAGACGGCCAAGGAGGGGGGAAAGTAAGATAAAACGGATAAAATAAAGATAAATAAGTATAAGATAACAATAACATAAGATTATAAGAAAGATAAGAGATAGAAAGATAAAAGTGAAAGATAAAAATAACATAAGAATATAAAAACATAAAGAAGATAAACGATAAAAGAAAAGAGAGAGGAAATGTAGAAAAGACGTCAATTGTCCACACGGATGTGCGCCCTCCACTTTGCTCTCTCCAAAGTCATACTCTCATCCAACCCAAGAAGACGCATATCAGTTCTGATTCCTCTAATACAAGTCTGTTTGGGTCTTCCCCTCCCTCTCTTCTCTGCCTCTTCCCCCCATCCCTCAAGTCGTCTAACAGGTGCATCACTCGGTTTTCTACGCACATGCCCAAACCACCTCAAACGAGACATACGCAACATACACATCTCTGCCACACTCATCTTTTGAATGTGGCATTGCTTCACCGCCCAACACTCTACGCCATACATTAATGCAGGTCTAATTGTTGATGAATGAGGGACCACAGCTTGCAGCCAATTTTCAGAGGATTCATTGCCTGTCATTTTTAGGGAAAATAAAACCTGAAATAAAAACTAAACTTCACCTTAAGCTGATGATAATTTTGTACCTTCACTGTGCTCGGAATTACTATCATGTGTCTGTGTGAAAAGATTTGTGATTGAAACTCGCCAAGAGGAAGACGGCAGATGGTGGTGAATGTCCACATGTAGCTTCACTATGCAGCTGTAGTCTCCTCTCAAGTTGTGCAATATCAAAAACAGACTGCTAGCCCAAACAAATGAGGTGGATCAAACCGGCCCTGGTATCATGATGTAATACGTTATTGGTTGGGGTTGTTCAACTGGGAATTAAAATGGCCGAAATCGCACCTAATGTTTGAATCCAATTAAATTGTTAATCTAACCTCTAGGGCTTATAAACCCATATTTCTCTCCTAATCTTTAATTCAATGCTGATTTTTTACAAAAATTAATACAATGCTTATATAGATGATGCTATGGTATAATATAAAACTAACCCTGGAGCTCAATTAAAAAAACAAAAGCCCTTAGATTCTAGCATATCGTACTTAGAGCACATTATTGTCATCTATAAGCAGTGCACATTAGAAATAATTAAGTTGTAGCCTTGTAGGTTGTGTGTTTTATTCTTTAACAATAACCACCTCTTTAAAAATGTATGACCTTAATCTTATTACTTGCCTGTTTTCAAACTTCGATCGATATTATGTTTTGGAACCTCTAAGTTTTCACATTTAAGAGATATAGATCACGTTAGGTTAGCGCCTCAAATGCACGTGTGGCGCATGTGTTGCGCCAGATGCAAATATTGCTCTGATGCTTAAAATTGCATTTTAAACCTCGCCACATGGTTTGTTGTCATCAAAATGTCGGTGGGGAAACTCCTTTGTGTACTCCTTTTAAGCAAGTTCAGTCTCTTTTTTAGACAACTAGTCTATTTCTTCATACTGTGTGCAATAATCAGCATTTCTTGCCAGGTCAGTTGATGATACCTGGGAAACCACCAGTAGATGGGTCTATTCCTCCTGGAAGGCGGCTGGCTATTCCCTTGAACATATGTGTCTCACCATGCTTGTCTTTTGTAAAGGCTCGTTTGCTCTCAATGGAGATTCCTGCTTATGTTGGTGATGATCATCCAAAACTTGAAATAGAAAAGGAGTGTTCTATTGAAGAAGCTACCTGCATGGAAAGACAAGCTGACAAGTTCATAAAAATTGACCCTTACAGAGGAAGTTGGGGGTTGCGTTTTCTCGAGATGGAGTTGTCTAATCCAACAGATGTTGTCTTTGAGATTGGTGTGTCTGTTCAGCTTGAGAACTCTCCCAGTGAGGGGAGTCCTGAATACAAGTATCCTAGAACAAGGATAGATAGAGATTACACAACCAGAGTACTAATACCCTTGGAACACTTCAAATTGCCCGTTCTTGATGGTTCCTTCCTGGTTAGGGACTCCATGATGAATGGGACCAACAATAGAAGTTCAAGCTTCTCTGAGAAAAACAGCAAGGCTGAACTTAATGCTTGCATCAAGAATTTAATTTCTCGGATTAAAGTTAGGTGGCAGTCTGGACGAAACAGTTCAGGAGAATTAAATATCAAGGATGCAATACAGGCTGCTTTACAATCATCAGTGATGGATGTTCTGCTGCCAGATCCACTGACCTTTGGTTTTGCTCTCACCGGAACTGGTTTGCCCAAGGAGTTGGGCATGCAGAACCATTGTGTTGCATCTAAGGGGCCAATTGTTGCACATGACATGACTCCAATGGAAGTGCTTGTACGCAACAATACGAAAGAAACTATTAGATTAAGTCTCAGCATCACATGTCGAGATGTAGCTGGTGAGAACTGTGTGGAGGGTGATAAGGCAACCGTGTTATGGACAGGTTCTATTCTGTCATTTTTTTCCCTGTTTTTCTTTTTCTGTCATTTGAATATGTGAAATTACCTATCCATACCAGTGAGATGCTACTGTAACACTTCCCATAATGTTGTACTTGTGAAGTTTTTTTCAAACTGTCATCCTTGAAATGTCATCCAAACTGACCCAAGGATGTTTGCACAAAATGTATAATTGGCATACGAAGATACTTAGTTTTTTCTCAAGAAATATATACTGGGGCCACAACAATCTTTTTTCTTAATAAGAAAATTTTAAAAGTTCCTGCATACGGAGTAGTATTTTTTTCTCCCACTAAAACCACTGCCTAAGACAATTTATTACTCCGTATGTGACATTATGCCTGAGATTTTAAAAAGGTTCTCTTGCCTTCATTGGTTTATGTATTGCCTTGCAAGCATAACAATATCAGAAAAGAATCAAATTTGAGTAATAAATAGAAACAACATGTGTAAGAACGATGAGTCGATGACGCACTACATAGTAATTATTAGGTAATCAGTCACATGGGAGTCTTAAGCAAAAACATTATGTAATTTGAGTATAACCTCTTTCTTCAGTAAATTCTGTAGCCTGGCCTAGTGGTAGTCACCCTCCCCCACATGCACAACAAAAAAGAAATAAAAAATGGTTGATGCTATATCGCTGAGTGCTGGTATAAATACCCAATTAATTTGCTTAAGAGCGGTACACTTTAGTGTTATGATGATAATGCCTTCATTGGCTAGTTTTCGATTTAGTTGTCCTCAACACCATTTTCTGGGTTTGTGTTAGGTGTTTTGAATGGTATTGCCATGGAGGTACCCCCACTTCAAGAAATCAAGCATTCCTTCTCCTTATATTTCCTGGTTCCAGGTGAGTATACGTTGTTACCTGCTGCTGCAATTGATGATGCTAATGAAATTCTAAGAGCTCGAGCAAGAGCGAACTCAAATGACGAGCCAATATTTTGTCGTGGACCGCCTTTCCACATCCGAGTGAATGGAACCCTATGACAGCTGTCACGCTACAATTGGCTCCAAAAGATTTATGTTTAACCGGGTGTCAGTGTTGTGTTTCTAATCTATGTATTTATTAAGCTTCCTTAGTCATACCGACCCTTTGTTTTCCCTTTCTCTATTCCTTTTGCTATGGAGTGACTTTTGTTACAAACGGACCTAATTTAGATGTGCATTAACCTTTTGTAGCTTTTGTGCATGCTGAAAATCCCATACTATAATAGTGTAATATATCTGCGGCTGTCCAGTGATTTTGCTTTACCCTAAAGTGCAATGGTGCCTGCCAAATGTCATTCGTTTCTCTGTTTCTCTTTTGATCTTCATGCTTTGCAAATTAGGTTGTGTTAGCTGAGTTTGTTAATACATTTTGAACTCCATGCTAAAAATGCTCATGAAAATGCAGACATGAGTTGGGCATTTTTTAGTTTGAAAGCTGCAATGGAGTTGACAAATGCAATATAGTTCTTCTCAGTTCTCACACCCCCCCCCCCCCCCCCCCCCCGAATTTATTAAATGTATTTTTTTTCCAACAACAAAAGAAAAAGTAAGTTCGATACTTCGATATGTAGTCAAACACAAGAAAACGTAAGTCCAATATTTAGTCAGACACTAGTAATTGGTTTTATTCCCATTGGTTGAATTAAATGAGATTTTTGAAATGTCTTGATGGGTATATATTGAGTGTTTATTAATAATAAAAAACAATAGTTACGGATTATTGATGTTGCGCACAAATGTACAATAGCGAGCTGCGAGCCGCACAATAGTACAAAAATGAAAATCAAAATAAATACAGATATATAAAAGTCTTACACATAAAAATAGGACTAACGTATAAGGGCGTGTAAGAGAACTAGATGGTCTGACAAAAATTATCTCACGTCCTTTTAATTGTGATTCATATTCCCATTCACATACTTTTAATATCCATAAAATTGGTGAATGGTGAAATGGCTTAATCAGCTAATATGACTGAATGAGCGAAAGTGCGAAACGATTGAATAAAAAGTGTTTGGTCATTTATTTGAGTGAAACGAGTAATTGGATGTATCATCATCAATACTTCAGAGGGACACACAAAAATGGAGGGCAAAGGGACATTTCCTTAATAAAGATAAAAATTAGTCAGTCAGTCACAAAAGTAGTTTTGAAGTCCTTTTTGGTTAAAAGCTGAGCAAGCATAGCAACTAAATATAATTGTGTTTGGTGCTTTTTTAATACGTTAAGGCTTATTAGTCAATTTGGAGACTCCAAAGGCACTCTAAGGGTGTTTGGGAATTTAGACATGATGGAAGGGGAAGGCTTTGGAAGAGAGTAGAGAGAAGGGAAGGAGAGTGAGTTGGGAAGAGATTTCTTCCTCTTATTTGAGAGTTAAATATATGAAAAGAGGAAGGTTTTGGAGGAATTATAAGTAAAATTACACATGTACCCTTTTACAACAGTATAAACTAAGGGTGGACCGGGTCCCAGAACGAAACTGGGCGGGATTGGGGTCTTGGGCTGCATGCCCGGTACCGGGCCGGGGCTGAATTGGGTCATGTACCCCCATCCCCCACGGCCCACCTCCAAAAACCTCCCCAAACCACCCAACCCCACCCACTTGGCCGCAACCCAAAGCCAAAAAATAAAAAAATAAAAAAATAGGGCCCAGAATGGTAACCAAGAAGCCATAAATTATGGTAATTTTATTAAAATACACACTCTTCCATTACTCCAAACTAAAAGAGACTGCACTCAGACCTGATGACAAGATGAAAGAATCAAATTATGACTTTTTTTAGTTAATATGTTCTATATGTCGTAACTCAAAGACCAAAAACATATCATTCATTCACATATAGCCATGTATATATACAAGGCGAATGGAGCTAAGATTACACTTGATATGAGCCAGAACATATGGGCTTGGGGGTTAATGGACATCAACATATTACATAACACTCCTCCTTGGATGTACATTGCTAAATAAAATACATTACAAGAAAAATATACATTATTCTCTTTATATATGTTGGTGATGCCGCCTCGTTAAAAACCTTGCCGAGGAAAACCCAATGGGACAAAACCTTGGTCAAGAGAAAAAGAGTGCAGTGCATATGTTGACTACATCACTTCAAGATTTCTCTCCAAGTCTTCTTGTAGAATTTAATCCATCCTGGTTATAATCTTCTTGTACTAATATTTGTATTATATGTATGCCTCATTAAAAACCTTGTTGAAAAAACCCTTTGGAGAAAAAAACCAATCAAGAAAAAGAGTACATAATATATGTAGAACGATGTGTTGAATTGACTGTCTCATTAAAAACCTTTAACTAAGAAAACCATGTGGGAAAAACTTAGTAAAGGAAAAGATTATAATCACTAACCTTCGGAGCCCAATCTTCTAGATTGCATTTGAATTTACTCTTCTAGAGAAAAATAATACTGCGAATTTTATGTAAAAGGAGTACAGTTGTAATCATCTCATTAAAGATCATCATCATCACTATCCTAATATGTTATTTCAATGTCATAAACTGCCTCGTTAAAACCTTTGACCAAGAAACCCCTATGAGACAAAACTTGGTTAAGGAAAAAGAGTACAACTGCATATGGTCTTCCGGACCAATAAATTTTTCGATCTCAGAAGGACCAGTTAAGACCTTCAGGGTACTATCTTCCGAACTAATATTAGAATCACTCTTTTAGAGGATAATAGTCTTCCGGGTATTATGAATCTTTCTCATTCGTTAAAACCCACAAAATACCTTAAAACCTTTGGCCAAGAAAATCCTTTGGGACAAAAACTTGTCTATGGAAAAAGAACAGCACATGGCCTTCTGGACCAATTAATTGTTTCATTTCAACAACTCAATATGTTTAGGTAAAAATATACGATAAACTCCACATAGTTTGGACTAATGAAAATCTTTAGTGTATAAACCTCCATTATCATTGTTTATGTAGATTTGATGGACATCAGTCACAAAACTCTTCAAGAGTTTCTAAGCGAAAGCAATTGTCTAAATTCATGATTATGCAATGTGTATTTCAAGACCATCAAGTTTATTGTTTTTATGCACACCAAATATTCAATAATTAAGTACTCTCAAATATTGGTCCATAAAACTTAAATGAGACAAGCTTTGATCTTACTTGTTGTGTGCACATATTTCTTTTCACTATTGTCCTTCAGGGACACAATTGATATTTTATTATAACAATGACATCCAATTTTCTCATCAACTGCCACATTACAGAACTTTAAACTGTAACAGGAATGTAGTCTCAAAATCATTCAATCTCAAGTATTGTCACCCCACATATACAATATCTTGATTTATGGGACTTCAGGCCCAATATAATTTTTTTTTCTCATCCATAAACATCAATCATAATTCACAAAAATTTTAGGACTACAGGTCCATCATATTTCATCTGGCCAGACTTTATAATTACGGATTATGAATCGATAGTCTTGGAAAAATAAATCATTGACGTCAATATAATAACTATGATTCCTGTTTCATCAAAGTCCTCTTTATATGAGCCATAAAAAAGGAATTCATGTTCTATATCATATAAATTATGAGCTGCAACATTTAACTTATATCATCCTCTTGTAGAGGCATAAGTGACTTATTGTAATAAGATCTGGTTTCATTTTGTATACAGTACACATAATGACCGTCAAACCATGCTTCATGCATTGGTTGAGCTCAAACTTTATGATCATTTCTATTAGTCACTTTGGCAGTTTACTTATCAAATTTTACACGTTTCTCCTTTGAATAGCAATAATTCTTCTGGGATATTTTCCCGACATTCCAAAATATAATTGTGATTATGCCTTTATATCCCCCCGATGTCGGGAATTGTGCCATAATATTTGTGAACAAGGATTTACGTACATATGGAGCCACTTCTGGGGTCCAAGCACATCATTTGTGTATTGGTGTTTCAATATTTGCAGATTTTGGCTCATTTTAACGTGTAAAATTTTAGGGGTTAGTTATTAACAAACATCGGAGAATAAGGGTTTCAAACTACGTCGGAGCAAGACAGAGTACATGGAGTGCAAGTTTGGTGGAGGTAGAAACAATGGTAATAACGGAATTACTCTGGATGGTAAGGAGATACCAGTCAGCGATATGTTTCGTTACTTGGGCTCCATAATTCAGAAGGACAGTGAGTTAGATGGAGATGTATCCCATATAATCAGAACAAGGTGGATGAAGTGGTAGAGTGCGTCAGGATTTCTATATGGAGAGGTATGCCGACTAGACTGAAGGGTAAATTTTATAGGACGGCAATTAGGCCTGCATTACTGTATGGCGTAGAGTGTTGGGCGGTGAAACAATGTCACATTCAAAAGATGAGTGTGGCGGAGATGTGCATGCTGTGTTGGATTTGTGGGCATACTAGGAAGGACCGCGTGAGGAATGAGACAATCAGACAAGGGGTGAGAGTAGCACCTATTGAAGACAAGATGCGGGAGTCGCGCCTACGATGGTTTGATCATGTGTGTAGAAGACCGAGTGATGCACCTGTCAGACGAGTTGAGATGTGTGGAGAAGAGGCAGAGAAGAGAGGGAGAGGAAGACCCAAACAGACGTGGGTTAGGGGAGTTCGAAGTGATATGCTTCTTCTGGGGTTGGATGAGAGCATGACTTTGGAGAGAGCTAAGTGGAGGGCGGGTATTCGTGTGGAGGAGTGATCTCGTATCAACTTTTTCCCTCATCTTTTTTCCTTGTTTTTTATCCTTATATATATAAGCATTATTTGTATTCTTTTTATTTTATCATTTATATGTATATTCATCTGTTTTATATTATCTTTTTATAATAACTTATCTTTTTTATCTTTATTTCCTTTCTTTTCCTTTTGGTGGTGATATCATGTATCAATTCATGTTAGCCGACCCCAATATCTTTTGGGACTAAGGCTTGGATGTTGTTGTTGTTGTTGTTATTGTTGTTGTTGTTGTTGTTGTTGTTGTTGTATTTAGGCACCTTTCTAGCTATTTATCCCAGGCGAAACATTCATCGTATAATGCTAGATATATTTTGTGGGTTACCTTATGCTTCTCACTATATTTCATGGAAGCCGACAAAATGGTCTTATAACACTCATTATATGTAGACATTACAGGAGAGCATATCTTGAGACCAAACTTGATATTAACCCATATTGTGAAACTCAAATTCACTTAACTCCCATGGATCCACCTTTTAAAATATTGGGAGAATAGACGGTCTTGTCATTTTCTTGTTTAAGAAGTATTTATATATTGGATGTCTTATACGGCATTTGGTTTAAAGCTGGGTTGACCTTAAATTGGTCATTTATTCAAAAATCTTAAACTTCATGCAACACATGTTTAAATTATTCAAGTATACATAATATAGTATGAGGAAAATTCTGGTACAGACATATATTATAGAAACACAATTTACATTGCGTTGATATGGTCTCAAATTATCAGTTAGTAAGTATGATATAACTTTCAAATTATTACTACGCAGTGTTTGAGTAGGTTCTTATACTCAATGCCTGAGATTTTTATGTGCACATCTTGTTTATAAATATAATTTGTGCTTCCATTACTTTTTATCCCTTGTGTATGACTCTATCAAAAGTTAATATGTTTTGGGCTCTATGCCACAAGTATATACATGCTTCAGGCATTATCATCTCTAAGACAAAAATAATTCGTCTCTAAAATAACCATTTATATATTGATTTCTTACTTTCATAGAAATAATAAGAATCACTCACCTAGAAATATGTATAGAGAGAGAGTCTAAGGATGCTACTCTTGACGTAACATAAAAGTTATTATATAATCGTATATGTATAAGAGCACTTTAAGGGTTGTCTCAAACTATTCACTTCAGTCGATTTCTTAATCGTAGTGTATATTATTATCACTATTACATATGCATACGCACATATTAGGGACCGTACTTTTCATTAACCGGAAATTTATATAAATACTTCTTTTAATAAATTAAGGCAAGTACAAACCTAAAATTATATGTCAAATTCACGTTCTTATAGTGACTTCTGATACGTTGTTAAATTTTCATATTTCCATTTATAAAATTTCACTTTATCACTCTCGAGTGCATTACCTGTTTAATCACTATGTGTCTATATCGTATTTATATTCTTAATGCCATAAGAATTATAAATGAAAAGATTAATGCGTACCTGGCCTCTTATTTCTTATGCATTTTTCCCAATGCTTAACTCATATCAATGTAACATGTATAACTCTTCACGATAACAATGTTTAACTTTTTTTCGAATATAATTGAAGTCTATATCATGTTTTCCAACCATGTATTTTCTTAAAGTATATCGGTTACTTGATTGTTTTGTAAGTCATTGGAGATATACTAGTCAGTAGTCACATCACCTTGTCGATTAATATTCAACAATCAAGTTTATCATATCATATAATTATATAAATGTAATCATATAATTATGTTCCAAAATGACCAAATTATAAATAGAGATATGTGGAACGTACATGTAACCTTCGATGCATTTTTCTTAATGCTTGCAAAAATTCAAAGTATAATGATTTTTTATAGTAATACATACAAGCATTAGAAAGGCAACGAAATGTTAACGAATTGATAAAATTTCTAAAAGGCAATGAAATGTTAAACGAACTTATTAAAGATCTTCATCATACATAATCAAGGAAATGGAGTGCTCTTCGGGAGCAAGGATTGATTAATATTTCATGAGTTTAAAATCGTGATTATATCATATATGCATTTAACTAATCTTGATGCATAAAATTCCCGAATTACAATTTGAGACAAATTAGTGAGATTGTTAAACATTTAAATCTCATATAAATAAAATATCATTCATACGAAACTTTAACATTCAGCATAAAAGTCTAATCAAGAATAGTAAAGTTCATATTTCTAAAACTCATGAAAGACTTATAATCAAGGGGTTGTATCTCTGTTTTAGGCCTTCCCATATTTTTAAGGGGATCTCTCAATTGAATATTCACATTTTAAATTTTCATGGAGGTGGTGACGGAGAAATGTTATTGTTAGTTTTAGCCTTATCTACTTTGAATATTTTATTAGCAATTTAAATGGTATCACCTAAACGGTTGGCGTCTCACTCAAAGGTACATTCTAAAACGTTTAATTTTAAACTCTTTATTGATATTATTATATGCTAACTAATATTGAATTCATGCCATTAATTGAATAAATAAATGTTCTTCTATAACCGATATTGACTAATAAATATCATTAAAATTTCATATTCAAAACAGTTTATTTATGCAACCAATATTAAAACAAGTGTATATTCTTATTTCATAAAAACTTTATAAGCATAATAATTAATTATCACTCTATATTATTGATAAAATACATAACGTATAGAAGTTTTGTGAATTTATGTGCTGCCCCGTGAATATCACCAAACCAATTTACATTTTGGAGACTCCACATGTATAGAGTAATCAAAAATCTTAATACTATATATTATCAACATATATAACCTTTAATTATCAAGGATGTGTCCAGATTCAAAGAAAGAACGCCATATAATCATTGATATAGTTAAACTGACTGAACAATATATACGGAGATTTTATGGGCTATTAGTTATAAAAATCTCTAATAATAATAATGAAGGTAATTGATTCCGTAAAAGTATAAAATTAAGTGTTTTCGTCGCGTTTCAATTGATAATCAAGTACTCCGTAATATATAATACACCTACACATAATGTGTTGATAATGTGTTGTAACTCAAAGGCCAAAAGCATATCATTCACATATAGCCATGTATATATACAAGGAGAAGGGAGCTAGGGTTACACTTGATATGAGTCATAACATATAGGCTTGGTGGTTAATGAACATCCACATATTACATAACACTATATCATTTTTAAAGTTGATTTTTCTTGGTCTAAATAGTTTCATTTTATTTACTTATTTAACATATCAATTTTTTATTGATTCTAACTTAGATTTTGAGTTTATGGAACTTTCAATTTAGTTTTTCAAAACTCCAAATTTAATTATGAAAATTGATAGACCTAACTTAATGGATGATTTAACTAAATTGTTGATCAATCCTAAAATAGTAAATTACAAATCAATTCGGAGACAGAAGAAATAGAAATTAAATTTATGCATGTCACATTCTCAGATTTGGGTCTCTACCTTGCTCTAGCAGCAAGGTAGGGTGTCTGGCCGAGGGAGACCGTCCGATCGAACTCAACGGTAGGAGATTATTGGGGTCCACTTTTTCGTGTATCTCGAGACGCTCTTCTTCCCATCCGGCCGTCCGTTGCATAAGGCACCTTCCTAGTCGGGTAGAGGATCTCAATCCCATTGTCCCATGGCATGAAATCTAAGTCTGAACCCCCACGCATTAGTCATGTCTAATGATGAATCATACGCATAGATAAATTTATCATAAAACAAACAATTTAATTATAAGACCATACCATACAGTCTTTAGACTATTTAGACATAGATAAATTTATGATTATATCTAATCATAACACTAATATTCAAAATTCAGAGTTCAAACTGCCGTTTTCCATGGTACCAAAATTTCACCTTTGGAAGGGCAATGTCGTCTCTTCCGCAATAGTTGCCATTGTATTCATTTCCAGACGGTTACTACAATTTCCTCCGCTCGGAATCTGTTTCGAATCCTCCAGGCTTTTCGCAACGGTCATGAGCTCATTCAGATCAAAGCTTTTCCTCCTCGTCTTCTTCCCCTCACTCCGCGGTTGAGATCCGTTCACTCCGGCGGTCTCTTCCACCTCCTGCGGCCTCTGATTCCCTGAAACCTCTCCCGCCCTCAGCCTGGCCGTGAAGGTATTCTTCAACGGAGAGTCATCGTCGTCGCCGGCGTTTTCGCTCTCGAAGTTTTGGGCGTAACTGGTAGGGTCGTAGGTGAGATCGGAGGTGTGCCGGCGGTGGTGGCCCAGTCGGGTCGCAATGCTCCGGCACCGTCCTTTGAAATCCGGCGATTTCGTGTGATTATGGTCGTTGCTTTGGTGCTTGGTCCGGATCCACTTTGACGGGCTGACCACTCTGGGGCTATTGTCCGGCGATGATTTGTCGACGAGATTGTGCCGCCGGCTGAGATGGCCGTAGAATAAAGCGGAAAGGCTCAGAGAGGAGGACGATGACGACTTTCTATGCCTACCCTTCTCCCTTGGGCTGTCAAATTGGGGCTCATCATTATTATCATTCATTTTGACATTTTCTTGATTAATATTGTTAGTTGTAATCAATTCATGACAATTATAGGATTAATGAAATTAGTTGTAATTATGCGGAGAATCGTTACACTTATGGTTGTGCCCCACATTTGTTTGTGAACTGGAGGCTGCAGAATAATTGTGGTTAATTAGGCGTAGGATAGTTTTGTGGTTTTGCATTTCTTGAACACTTGCTAATTACATACGGAGTAGTATTTGCCGATTGATGACAAATAGTGACCGACCTTATAAGAGCATGACGTGCTCTGTTTTTCTATTTATCGGTCAACTTTTACGTAAAATTGTGTAATAATCAAAATAAGTAAAATTATAATTATTTTTCTGGTTGAATTGAATGAAGTTCTGTAAAAGACCATTTTAGTTGTATACAAGTAATTTTTTATTAATAAAATTTATTTCAATTTTTTTCATAAGATTCATCCAATTCAGACACTTCAATCAGAACTGCATCAATTTAAATGTTACTGTGTAAAGAAAAGGTATAATATATGCGACTCACTCTCCCACACGAGTAGCTCATGAATAAAAAGTACATCACTTATTAAGAGCCCGTTTGGTGATCATGTTTTTCAGATTATCGGGCTTATCGGACAACTTTTTCACTAAACACATAACTTTGTGTTTCGCGCAGTGAATTGTGTAATAATAAGAAAAAGTAAGGTTCAAGTTACTTTTCTAGCTGTATTGGCTGAAGTTACTGTAGATGATCATTTTGGCTATTTTTCATATAATTTTTTATTTATTTTACTAATAAAAAATATTTTAAATATAACGTTATCATAAATCAACAGAATCTGCCAATCCAGTCACTTCAGCCAGAACTTCATAAATTTTAGCAGAATCACTCGTTTCAGCCAATTTCAGTGTTATCAAACAGGCTCTAAATTATACAAACATTACGCATGACACATGTATTATTCACTAACTACCTCATATAAGACCTGTAAAAAAAACTACCTCATACTCCCTCCTTATTTAAAAGTTCTCTACACTTTCCTTTTTGTGTTGTATTTAAAAGTTCACTATACTACATTTTTTGGTAAGTTTATCCTTTATAAAATACTCAACTACCCTTATTTTATCTACCTTTTATTTTCGCTTTCATACTTTTACACAATCTATACTACTTTTTCTAAATTATTCATTACCCCTATTATTTACACATTAAATATTGTGCCAATACTTAATGTAGTGATCTTTTAAATACGGAGAAAGTAGCTTATACTCCCTTTGTATTTAAAAGATGAGTACATTAGGTATTGGCACAATATTTAATGTGGAAATAATAGGGGTAATGAATAGTTTAGAAAAAGTAGCACAGATTGTGTAAAAGTATGAAAGAGAAAATAAAAAAAAGATAAAGTAAAGGTAGTTGAGTATTTCATAAAGGGTAAACTTACAAAAAATGGAAGTGTGGTGAACTTTTAAATACAGCCCAAAAAAAAGTGTAGAGAACTTTTAAATATGGAGGGAGTATGAGGTAGTTTTTTTACAGATTTGATATGAGGTAGTTATTGCGTAATACATGTGTCATGTGTAATGTTTGTATAATTCAGAACCCGTTTGATAACACTGAAATTGGCTGAAAACGGGTGATTCTGCTAAAATTTATGATGTTCTGGCTGAAGTAGCTATATTGGCTGATTCTGCTGATTTATTACAAAATTATATTTAAAATATTTTTTATTAATAAAATAAAGAAAAAATTATATGAAAAATAGCTAAAATGATCATCTACTGTAACTTCAGCCAATACAGCTAGAAAAGTAACTTCAATATTACTTTTCTTATTATTACATAATTCAGTGCGTGACCTAGTCCCCCTCTCATTTGTACCTTCTCATCCTTTTAATAAAACACGTCAAATGTTCCCCGACATTTGCCCCACCGATTTTGGTGGTTTGCCTTCCGGGTTTAAAAAATAATAATAATTCAGTGCGCGAAATCAAAAGTTGCGTGTTTGATGAAAAAGTTGGCCGATAAGTCCGATAAGCTGAAAAACATGATCACCAAACGGGCTCTTAATCAGTGGTACTTTTTATTCATGGACTAATTAGATCATATTTTAAATAATTGATTAACACTACTTGGATAGGGGCGAGAAGAGAACGAAGGAGAAAAAACCTAGGAGCGGACCGATCTAGCTTTATGTAGAGTGTTTTGGGGGCACCATCCTTGATGGATTTTGAATTTCAATTTTCGGTGTTCAATTTTTTTCACAATCAAGAATTTAAAGAATAATAAATAATTACATTTAATTTGTCCATATGTACTTACATTTTTTTCAAATTTTTGAGTGTTCATGTGAACACTTTTGAACAATGATGACTCCCCTCCTAGGCACCGTCAGTGACAGTAACAAATTTGGAAGCTTTGGTGCTTGGATAGATTCTAGCGAGGCAAGCTATTTGCTCACGATTCAATTTCGGCAACGAAGATAGCGATTGGAGTTTGGCGGTGTGCTTTTGGTGTCAAAAGTGAAGACTTGGCAGAAAATGTGATTAACAAAGAGTGGGATAAGGAAGAAGGTGCAGAACTGTTGGTCTATATGAAAGTCGCCGTTATGGAGAGATCGTGTGGCTATATTTGAAAGACGGTTTATTATTCTATATTTCTATCCAACTTTATTTGTGTTCCTTTAGACTTTTTACTTTTGATGGATAGTGTACCCGGGGGGTAGCTTATCCGAGGGATTATTACGGGGAGTAACAAGAGAGAAGTCAGAGCAAGTAAATGTAGAGAGAGAAAGTATATTAGAAGTGTGGAGCGTTTTCAGCGTGGTTACAAATGGGGAAATGGGGTGCTATTTATAGTAGCAATAAATGCCGAACAGGGACACGTGTCAAGCGTCCATTGGCCGAGAGGTCACCTCAACTGGTTGGCGCTGGCAGCCGCATGTGGCCGCATTTAATGCGGCTGTTGGATGGGACGTCTGCGCAGGGTACGGTGATCTGCACGCATGTGACTAGCCGAGGGCTCCTAGTGCCAAGGACCCCTGAATGCCGAGGGCTCCAGGTGCCGAGGGCTACTATTTTCGCCGTTTTCTCCCAGTTCCTCTATTTGTTCGAAATATCCACGCTGTGATAGTTTGGAGCCTTCGGCCAGGGGGCCGAAGGCACCCCTGGTGCGTATTGCGGGCTGCTTGGTACTCTGGGCGCCGTGATTTGGGCCTGTTGGGCCTTCTGGGCTTGTTGGGCCTTTACTAGAGTAGTAGGAATCTGTGGGCCGGGTGTTCCCGGGCCATATACTCCATCAACTTTGTTTTTAGTTTGTTTGTGTTAGTGGTTTTTTAAGTGTGTATGATCGTTCTATATAAAAAGGTGAATATGACCGTTATTTGTCTCGGAGCTTTATGTCTGATTAGGGACTGAGAGGTCTTTTGACTTTTTTGATTTTGTTGATGTGGCAAAAAGTACGTTGAATTTAAGGGTAATGAAGAACTTATGTATTGTGTTTGATGGTCAGCGATTCATGTTACTTCTTTGAAAGTGACTGTCTCGGAATCTTATCTTAGGTTTTTATATGGATTAATAATATTTTGTAATAAATTGGAATATAAAAAAAGATAAATTCAATTGTAATTTAATAGTTAAATAATTTAAAAAAAATATTGCAATTAAATTGTTCAATTGTACTATTAGGTTGTTCTGCTTTAAGTGGAATAAAAAATTTGTTACTTAAGTAGTTTGTATGAGATATGTCTCGCACAGGTAAGCTACTAACAATATCCAATAATGGTTGCTTATGCGATCACTATTAATAAAAATCAAGACCAGTCTCTCTCATGTTGAGTTGTTGTTGAAGAAGTCTATTTTCTCTTATGCTCACATTTTCGTTGTGATTTCCAGAATTACCAATAGAAAAGGATCGGAAATTTTGTTAGTTGATGGTGATGGACAAAGCATAACACAGACTACCAATATTGTTTACAAAGAAATTTTTCAAAATTTGTAAATCTAATATGTTATCAACTTTAGTTATTTAATTGATGCAACAATCTTCTTTTTTAGAACATCCTTTTTAATCATCTGTAATTAATCTTTTTGCCACTGCATCGGTGAGCTACTAGTTACCCCCTCCGATCCTAAATAAAGTTCAGTGTTTAACTTCAAACAAATTAATGAAATAAATTTGACTTGACTGTAGAGTACATTGTTGTGACACTGTTTGGTACTATTTTACACTGTTTTGATGTAGATAATTTTTCAAATAAAAAGGGAGAGAAGTGTGAACTTTATTTTGGATCGACCAAAAAGGAAAATGTGAACTTTATTTTAAGCGTGACCGTAGAGTATTTTCCACGGCAAAGATTGAATGACAAGTCAACTAATCGGAGGTATACGTAAATAAAGGATTTGGACGGTTTAGAAAATTAAAAAATTATTGCCACGGTCACCGGCTCACAGCAGCTCCACCTCCTCTTTGTTGCCACATTCTTTTTCCACTATCTTCCCCTCAATTTATACACATTAGATACGCATTATACATGTTATTATGTGAGAGAATCAGGAAGAAATTGAGAGAGAAGTGGAAATGGGTTGCGCCAATCTGTTCTTCACTGTGGTGATACTCCTCTCAGCAACCCTCATCACCTACAACATCCTCATCTCAGTCAATGCTTCTGTTAACCAAGATTTCCCTATCCCTTCAAAATTGAGAAGAAATTTCCTCAACTCTAAGGACCCAGTCATCAAAATGCCAGTGGAGAAAGAACCCAAGAAGCGGTTGTTCCACACAGCAGTCACTGCTTCTGACTCAATCTACAACACCTGGCAGTGCAGAGTCATGTATTACTGGTTCAAGAAGTTTAAGGATGGGCCTAATTCTGAGATGGGTGGTTTCACAAGGATCTTGCACTCTGGAAAACCTGATAGGTTCATGGATGAGATCCCCACTTTTGTTGCCCAACCCCTTCCATCTGGTATGGATCAGGTATTTCACACACACCTCTCTTTTCTTGCTGTAACAGAAAAAATCAAGACTTTTTTCATTTCCAATTTGATTGTGCAATTTTAGAATACACTGATAATATAGCTGGAGTTTAGTGGTACATGAATGAATATATGGTTTAGTTTATCACTTTATCCATTTTAAGTACTTCTCCTTGAACAGTACTCCCTCCAACCCAATAAATAAGCCATTCTTGGAAACTTTAATTTGGACCCAAAAATAGTCAAGATTTCAATTTTCATTACATTTAACTTTTTT